CACATGAGAATAGAATTCAGACCATCCATCAGGAAGTGACACGGCTTTGACGTGTGACCTATTGGACCGTCCCTAGGGTCTATAGTTAGTAACCGGGCAATTCTAATTAAATCGGGGAAATTCAATTGTAGGGTCATTGACCAAGAAAATTGAGATGAAATGTAAGTTAACAAGGGAATTAATAGATACTCATTATGGAGTTATATATTTATACAGCTATTTTTAAATAAACTAGTTGAGATGCACGTGCAATGCACGCGGTTGAATATCATGAGTTGAGATACACATGCAATGCACGTGGTTGAATATCATGATTATTTAAATTAAAAAAATAGAGTAAAAATAAAAAAATAAAGTTTTTTGTGGGATTGATCAACTCACTAATCTCTCTCAAATAAAATATTATCATTGTTTCCTTCAACCAAGACTGTGGCTGCGTGATCTACTATTTTTGAGTTATAAACATATTAATTTAACACAATATCTCTATTTATTAGTATCTTGAAGTCTTTAAAAGATGGGTGATCATTCAATTCGCAAAAGATTTTTGCATATGAATTTACTTGCAATATGTCCATTAAACTTTTAGTTGTGGTTTGACTCATATTCATATAAACTTTTAGTTGATATTTTGCTCATATTTATATTATCTAATATTGTCATTCAATTTTATAGCTCATTCTCTGTATCATAGAAAAAAACTAAAATTATGAAGAATTATTTTCTTGTGAAAAAAATTAGAACATGGAGATTATGATATACTTCGCCATGTGCTCTAAATATTAAAATTTTTTTCTTTGATGCAAGGTCCCTATCAAATCTTACTTCAAATGATGTGAATGCAAAATGTTATTATAATTCACTTGTCTGTGACAATTGTATTTTATATAGGATACATAACTCGTCTAGAATATCCATATTTCCTAAGTGGATTTTGCTGTTATGAGAGCAACATGTTAGAGACTCATATTTAAACTTTTTGGCTCTATAAAAGACACAAGAATTTAGAGTGCATAGCTTATATATCGTAAAAAGCATATTAATTCATGAATATTTTTTCTTCTAATAATGATATTATTACAATGATATTACTATTCAATATTAAATCACTTTTATTATATAAGATTATAATAATGATATTATTACAATGATATTACTATTCAATATTAAATCACTTTTATTATATAAGATTATATGACTCTTTTTAATAAATTATAAAGTATATATATTTCAATATTAAATCACTTTTATTATATAAGATTATATGACTCTTTTTAATAAATTATAAAGTATATATATATATGGAAACCTCGATGCTTATAGTCAGTAATCGGGCTCCACAAAATAGGTTAACTTTACATTGTAGTTTGCTATTTGTAGTATTGATTACATAGTCTAAAAACCAAAGAAAAAATTTTTACAAAGGAAAAATAATTTAATATATCAAATTAGGGACTAATTTATAAAATATACATAGACAGTGCAAATAGCTATAGAAAATAAGGTATATATCTTCATAAAAATTTCATAGTGAGTGACCAACTACAATCATCCTAATTTAAGCATAAATAATTATTATTTTAGTTACTAATTTGATACGCGTAACTATGTAATAAATCTCCGGTAAAAAATAAGAATTGAGATTATATTATGCTGTAGGTAAATAATCAAATGTTATCAGAGTTGTTCTTTATATTGAATTTAAAAGTAATAATTTAAATTATTAAGCACCAAATATTAGCTCATGTGAGAAAGTAAAGTAATCTATGGTCTATATATGTATATAGTCAATCAATCAAACATATTAAAATTATAATGACTACAGTCAAAATTATACGGTAGGTTCACATTAAATATAATTTGTAAAAAATAGTACACTAAAATCAAAATCATTTTAACCACTATATAGATTGTCTGAAATTTTTTACATATATAAACTATACTGTCTAGAAATAGTGATGTGCACACTTAACTATGGTTTAATAAACTTAAGAATGACTTATTCTTCAATATCATCATTAATTGATGTATGTGCATTACACTAAAAACATAATAAAAATTTAGAAAACTATAAAATAAACACCCTCAAAAGTTTTGAAAAGTGTAAAAAAACACTCTAAAATTTGTAATTTACAAATACACAAAACTATTAAACATTATATTAAAATCAAGGAATTACAAAAAAATCATTAAAATTTTTCAAACTTTGGAGAGGTACTTTGTAATGTACTAAACTTTAAGGGTATTTTTTATAAAATTTAAATTTAATAGTTTTCCAATTAATTATGTTCTTTTCAAAAAAAGTTATGGGTAATATTTACCATGAAAAGTTTTTTCTAAACCTATATTTTTAAAAGGTGTATGATATTTTTTGCAAAATTTTAATTTTCTAGGGGTTGTTAGTAATTTTGCATATTCACTTTATTGTCTATAGGTTAGAAATTCTCATGAAGTTTTTTTGTAAATTATAAATTTTAAGGATTTTATGTAATTTTTTAAACTTATAAGGCTTTTCTATAGATTATAAATTATTTATAGACTATTAATACTTCCTATGCTTTTAATTTACTAATGAATTTGAAAATTTAGGGTTTTTTATGTAAATTTTGAATTTTAAATTTTTGTTTGTAATTTTTAAAACTTTATGGGTGTTTTATATAAATTATAAATTATGTAGGGAATATTTATAATTCCTATATTTTTAATGTACTGCTAGGTCAGAAATTATTAGTATTTTATAAATTTTACAATTTTAAGGATTTTATTTTGTAATTTATAAAAAGTTCAGAGTGTGTATTGCAAATTCCATAATTTTTGGGGGTTATTTGTTTTATTTGTAGGTCTTTAGTATGTTTATGAGTTTGACATTTTCAAGATGTTTTTTATAAATTTTAAATTTTTAGGGGTGTTTTTGTAATTTTTAAAATTTACAAGATATTTTCTCTAAAGTCAAAAAACCTTTAGTTTCTGGTTTGCATATATTTTTTAGATTTCTCACTGAATTAAGATAAATAAAATTTATAATTTTCAAGATGTTTTAATAAAATTTTGAATTTGTAGGGGTATTTTTTGTAATTTAAAAAATTTAGAGAATATTTTTTACCAAGTCCAAAAACTTTGTGTTGGCTGGCATATGTTTTTTAGATTTCTCTACAAATTAAAATAAGTAAATGATTTGAATTATATGAAACATATCTATTTTATCCAATAATATATTAACTCTCATTATGAATAGAATAAATTATTTGGTTACCAATTCAAAGAAGATAAGATAATTAGAATAGATTAGGATAACAATGTAATATTTAAAAAAAACTAAGGGTAATATTGACCACCAAAAGATTTTTCCGAACTCATACTTTTAAAGGGAGTATGATTGATCAGACATTTCTTTATTAGAGCAAGTTAAGGTTTTAACATATAGTAACCTAAAAAACATTCATGTTCAAATTTAGATTCGAGGAGCTTAGAGAAGAGAACTTAGTTTCGAATTCATAGGTTTTAAATGAATACAAATATGACTAGGCCTGTCCAAACGGGCCGCCATGTGTTGATAAATGGTTTGTTATCAGAAATGCTCATGCAAATATTTTTATTGGAGTTCTCAGTATATCTAGCCAATTCTCTTTGCTTAACTTTATTCATATTACTTTTTTTTATATGATTTTAGTCCATGTGTAAAATGAGTCAATGAGTAGAGCTGTAGAAAGAACAATTCAGCGTTATTACAAGCGACTCAAGCGTTTGATCGCAAAAGAGAGAATTTTAAGTAACATTTGAAATATCATTTAATAGAAATATAGCATGCGCATATATCAAGTAATATCTGAAATATAATCAACTAGAACTTATCAAGTAACATCTGAGAATAGTTGAATTCTGAGTTAGATTCCTACAACATTCCCAATGTAATTTGAATAAAGCAAAATCTTCTTCCTTCTTTCTAGGTGCCAGCTAATCCAATTCCTCGTTGAGCCGAGCACAACGCCTTCGCCTTAAAAGCAAAATCTTCTCCTTCTTCTTCCCCCGTTTTTCAGGTCATGCTGCCTCTTAATGTTTTTTGCCAGACTCCAGCATGGACTTCAAGTGCCCGTAAAAGTCTTATTTTGGAATGAAGTTCTCGCTAAAAAACTCTATGGCCGCTCCACACTCGCCACGTAGAATCGACACTTACATTTGGCTCGCGGCATGCCTGAAAATTTTGCAGAATGCAACAACATTATAAGC